AAAAACGGCGGCTTAGACATATCGAACCTTTCCCACTACCCCGAAGAAGAAGAAGTGATACTTCCTCCAGGAACAACATTCAAAATCATGAACGTCAAGAAAACCAAAACCAACACCAACGTTTACTAGTTTGTCTGTCGCTAGTATCTAGTCTGCGGACATACAAACAAACATACATACAAACATACATACAGGCATTTTAACTCGATAAGACCCTTTCCTTTACAGTCAAGGGAATATTAATTTTTTTGTGCAGAATAATAAGTTTAGTGAAGTTTTCTGGGAAAAAAATGTTTGGCTGTGTTCGTTTTTGGAAAATGAATAGAACCATATAGTTACTGTCAAAGATGTGTCTCATAACATAGAAGATCAGACTTAGCGTGCTTTTGTTTATTTCAGAGCCGTCGAACACGCAAACTTATATGTAAAACTATATATTGCTTCATTTTTTTTGAAAAAAATATAGCCGAAAAGTTACTATGAGATGTTTTTTAATTTCCACCGTGACATAGGTGGGCATCTGTACCGGGCTTTTGTTTTGCCCGAGTCATGTGATGAAATGAGTTCTTGTTAAAGCAGAAGAAATGCTTGTTTGTTTTTCTTAGTTGTGGCTAGCAATCATGCTAAAACGATAATGATCTTAATCAATTAAAGAATGTCACACAACTACTGCTGATGCCATTCAAAACCATAAAAGTAGTTCTACGGGCATGCGTAATGAAACAATGGCCCCTGGACAACTATCAGGTAGGAATTCTGTCACTGTTATTTCTGCTGAAGCAGGCTCAGTAAGATAGTGTCCACTATAATTGTTAATTTTTATTCGTATGCAATGAATTGTGACATGGTGGGATAAAATATGTAGCAAATAAAAGAAAGGAAGACAGCTATGCATATTAAAATTGAGATCTTTTTGAAAAGATGAGCGAGAAAGCTAATTTGTTTGATATATAAAATTTACATACATGGGTGTGTTGAGATTAGTGTCTGTGAACTAGCTGTGAACTTCAGCTTTCTGTCAATAACGCTAATGGTTGAACAATTGAAATAAATGTTTCAAGGTATCGTCTTTTTTGTTAAAACGCGCTGTGATAGCAGCGAAGACAATGTATCATTTTATCAGACTATAAACTAATGAATTGATGAAGTCTGAATTTTTTTCTGAATCTTTTTCTACAACAGTTTTTCTTCAAATTTGCACAATGATCTACATTAAAGTCTGTTATTCAGTTTGATGACAAAGATGAAGTTCGTTTACTATCAAATCGTTCTATATGTTGTTTAAATGAACATCATTATGATCCAGTAACGAAAGATTGTCTTGATGCATTAAAATGTTATCGTGCTAGTAGAATTGTTGAGTCATCATTAACTCAAACGGAGTTTCAAATTGACGACATATTTGCCGAATGTTTATATCCTTTAATATAAATATTAATTTTTGTACAGCAACAGTCATTTATTTAATTTAATAATTTAAATTTATCTTGACGTTTCGCTTGTTGGCTCACAATCGTAATAATGTCCTTTAATATATTCGTTGATATGTCTAAATTCATTAAATCAAGCTGGAATAATCTTGAAAAAATGAAAATATATTTTAAAACTAGAAGCCTTGAATATTTATAATCAACGTTTTGAAGTTATTGAACGTGAATTAATACGTTTAAAAGGAGAAATCAGTGCTAATTATTATTTAGAAAATATTTTTGAACAGATACAATCTTCAATTTTTAATATTATGTTTTTTAATATTAATATTTTTTTTTCTTATGAATAGTTCTGTAATTTATCAACGAATACTAATGAAAAACGGCAACAAACATCGTTGTTCTATATTGAACATATTCATGCACAATTTCAACGGCATGATTATTTTGAAAGTCGTCCATGTGCACCAGATGAAATTGTTAAAAATGGCTATGATAAATATTCGTATGGTGTTTATGTGAAAAGAAATATTGAACCTGGAACATTGTTATTAGTTGAACAAGCTTTTTCCTTGGTTGATGTTTATTCATTAAAATACTATTTAGATAATGAAATACAGTTGAGTTTAAATCTAATTGAAACTAATAAACAACAAACATCGTCATCGTTAATTTCTGGAATATCGATAGACATGTCCACATACAAAAACATTTTCTCGTCAGAAAACAGAATTTTCATTGTGTTCTCTTTCCGAAACTTTGTTTGTGTTCAGTTTGCAAATCTTTTTCTTTTCTCCTTGTGCTCGTTGGTGAGCACTGGTTCACTTTGCGTCATGTAGGCTCGGAGTTGTAGATCATTCTTGAGCACACTGGTTCGAGTAATGTTCAGTTCTCTGGCCAGCTTTCGAGCACACATTTCCTTATGACACTTCAATCTTCTTTTGATTTTTTGAATAGCTGCTTTGGTTCCAACCGTTCGTGAGAAATCGAGTGGTATCGACAGGCTGATAGAGCCACTCGTGCGGATCATTTTGTACCATCTTTCAATGGTACAAACACTCATAGCGCCGTTCAGATCAAGAAAGACCTTCGCTGGTCTGCCTGCATTTTCGTACTTTGAAAGTACAAGTTTCTGCAAGTCTTTACTTTTCATGATCTGAAACAAGAACAGTCGAATCAAATATGAGACGCAATACACAGTTTTGCAGAAAACTTTATGGTAAACCTTTTGAAAAAAAAAAAATAAAGCCTCAGTGATGTAAATTGAACAAGATATCAACGAAATACTGAGACCCGCATTTATTCTGGCCCATCAGGTAAATAAGACTATTTTTGATATTTTTCAAAAACAGTAGCCCAAAAGCATGTGCTAATATCAGTAGTAGCTAGGGAGGGCTGAAGCCGTAGCGGTTTTCGTTCTCAACTGTCAACGGTAATTCATCAGTTGACTATTTGCCAAACTCTCAACTGCATCTAGCCATGCAACAATCCGAACGGTTTGCAACCCAACATGTTCGGCCTAGCAACATGATGCGACCGAACGTGTTCGGACGAAGATTGCAAATACGATAGTTTATATTTCTCGTCGTTATGAGTTTTAACAACTTCTGAGACGGGCGTTTTTATTCAATTTCTTTTACCCAAGCAAAACTAAGTAAGCGAGAAAATCTAGCTGCAAAAGTAGCTGCAGCGCCCACTTACAGCTACATTAACTAGATTAAAAGGTACATTTATCTAGCTGCATGCTGGTTGAAATTGTGTACTAACTGAAACGGCCACTGCATGGGCCAATTAATCGAGCAATGAATTGCCCGATTAATCGATAGCAACTAGTTGTACCCAATTGAAACTAGCTTCAATCTAGCTGAAGCTAGATAAAATTTTCATGTATTTCTGTGCAGCTAGCTGAAGCTAGATAAATGTACCTTTTAATCTAGATGCAGCGCCCGCTTCATGATTTTTTTCGTGCTGGGGACCAAGATAATCTAGGCTATATACTCGGTTGATCGTGAAAGTTTAGTTAAACCCATTTTTGTTTGAACTTTTTCGACTCTTTATAGCGAAATTCATTCTTATGGCTCACAGCAATGCTCTCATTGGCGTCATAAGAACTGATGGTTACACTATCCTAGACCTAGTGTATAGTATACAGCAAAATTTACCGAAACTACACTATTTCTTAAGCCAGAATTATTAGAATTAAATTCAGCATTTTCCAGCGCGTAGAATAAGCATAAAACAGATCAAAAGGGTAGCTTTCTACGCTAATTAAAATTAAGTGCACGTAGATGATAGCAACAGCGCCTAACTGAAAGATAATCATAGCGCTATTTGATGTACGCTTTTGTTAGCTGATTTTCTTTATGGAACAACTAATTCGAGATACGCGCATATCTCAGAGAATCGAAGCGCGCGTTTCAAGAAAGTAACTCATCGTATCACCTGCGTTTTTCAATGGTTTAAAATTCTTTTTTTAAAACCTGGTTACATCATGTTTTACTCGGACTTTTCTTCGAGAACATGATGTAATGAAGCTTTCCCATACAAAAATCTTTATTTTAGTAAAAACAATGGCTGAAAAATGGAAAGTTTTGTTCTGCCGCGAACTCACCAGATAATAACTAAGCCTCAACTTTAGTGTGAACACAATAATTTCGACCCAGATCAACTATCTTGCTTTTGTAGCGCCACGATTGGCTGTAAAAAGTCGCGGCAAGTCCGCTTATGATTGCGGCACACCACTTTAAGAAAATATGAAGTGTTTCGTACATAACGTACACTGATTCTTTTTCGTATCACATGTAAAATGAGAATAACAAAAACACATCTGCAATCCTACACATGTCTACTATATATGATATAAACAAATGCGGACTCTATTTTTATATACCAAATATATAAATGCTTGTTGCACTTTAAAATACAAAGAGTTCTTTTGCGTTCTTGTAATTCAAGATTACTCACTATCTATATTCAACAAAATTCTGGTACGTGGCGTGAGCCGTACCTTAATCTTAAAACTCGTTTACTTTAATTGATCCTTAGCAGTTTTTGATCTTGAAGCGAGCCGTGAAACCATGACTGTCGATGCATCTGCTAGATTATTCTACAATCGCCGCAGTTATTGTCGCGATGAGAGTCGCAGAAGCAGGAGTCATGTCGCGAAATAGCGATCGCGATAAGAGAAAACTATACTGAATTCTTAAGAACGTATGCAGACTTTAGAGCTTTACTGCGAGTTCGCGAGTATACAGAGATCGCGCCGTGACTTGGAGACACTATAGCGAGCGCGACGTGATTACATATCGCGCAGTGAATCTTAAAGAAACTTTTTTTTTGAAAGTAAGGTTTGATCAAGATCAAGCCGCGAGTTTAAGAATAGAGTGCGATCGCGACGCAAATACAGGATTTCATCGCGACGTGCGGGATGCCAAAGTGATCGCGGTAGTGATAGCGCGATCGCGCCCCAAATGAGTCGCGAGAGTGGATTTGAGGAATCATCGCCTTTTTGTATGATGTTCCGGAAGAAAAAACCGGGTAAAACATCGTGCAATAAAGTCAATAATTTGATTGCTACAGTTCTTTAAAAGTATAAATATCAAAAGGGAATAAGAACTATAAACAAGTTCGTCAAAAAGTGTAGAGACGATAAACATTCACTCCATGTCATGCTAAGTTTAAATATATTTTCAGACTTCTGGCAAAACTCTGCTTATTTTTTACTATTAATCTTTGATTCGTATGAGAAATCTTTCTAAATAATCACGAATATCACATTGCGTTATTTGATAAGCTCTTTTTATTTTTCGGAAAGGTTGTTCAAAAATTCTCAAGCTACTATCGACAGTAAGGTACTACCAATTCGAAATTCAAGCCAGATTTTCTTTTTTGCTTTGTTTATACATGGTTGGAAAGAGGACATCGAATTGCACATAAAAATGTTATTTTTAAGCATTTGAAAAATACTTTATGGGACAAAATTTTAAAATATTAAATATTATTATTGAAAAAATCATATTCAGGGGCGATGGGAACAGATTGAACGTGTGAGCTTGTGCTTGAGGTAGGGACACAGGCAAAAATATTATGTGTTAAATGCATTGAGTGAATGGGAAGGTAGATAAGAAAGGGGTGAATGTAAAATTCAAATGTAGTCACAAGATTCTTGTTGTAGTCAAGACTCTCTATAAATTCTATAGATCAGTGCTTACGATGTATGCAACGTTATCGAATTTCTCTTGAGTATGTAACTATTTGCTCTTAAGTATGTAGAATTTGCTGAAATACTTCAGGCAATTTGTTTAGCGAATCTGCTTGATAACCATTCAGCTAATACATCTTCCAATCTGCCCATCATGAAATTATATTCGTGTGGTAAAAGCTCAGGTATTAACTGTTTCAAACTGATTGTTTCTATGGCTGCACCATTTGAATCTTGTATTTGATTGCTTTTGTTCTTCAAGATGTCAATGCGACTGATTTCTTTTTCGTAACTCTTTATTTTTTCTCTTTCTCAGAATTAACCAAGCATCAGTTATGTATATATTTTATGGTGGAAACGTAAAATTTTTCAAGAACATTTTTCTCAAAAATAATAATTTTGACGGTGTAAAATAAAAGCTTTTAATTCATCTTTTGACAGTAGAAAAAAGTAATACATCTGCAGTTGAAATAACTTTTACGGTAAGTGTACTGAAAGGCGCCCCTGTAACCTCGTTGATAAAGATCGAGACATATGCAGATCACGAATTGACATATATACGTGTGACTGGTTACTTTTTAGAAAATGCGTAATATAAACAATCCGTTCGGTTTTGTATTAGCGCTACCAAAAAGAAGATCGAGTTGCGTACAAAAATGTTATTTTTAACGTATTGAAAGATATTCTCACGGGGTTCTCACGGGGTAAAATTTTAAAATATTAAAATATGTCCACTTTCAACTCCCTATTCTGTAATGTATTATATGTTTATATATATTAGAGCTCTATCGTAAACCATAAAGTCTTTATTTCACATATGCAGCGGAGTAACCAATGGAGGGGGCGGGGGCAAATGGATAATTGCCCATTTCATTTGGAGATTTGCCCATTGAAATTTTACTTTTTCAGAATGGTTCGTTTATTTTGGAATTAGATAGTAAATGTAATTTTTTTTGTTCCGTCTGCATCTCACATGTACTCTTTGCTTGTTCTTTCTGTGAAAAATTAATAAAGAAAGAAGAAAAGAATCGCTTCTTGTATTTTAACTTATGCATGTTTTTTTCCCTTGCTTGTCCATGTGTACACACATGCATCATCGTTGTATTGATTTTGGTGTTTGAATTTGAAATATAAATGATATAAACTGAGACATCAAAAATAAACTAAAACACACCTGACTTAGGCTTAAGATTTGAGTTTGATACATAGTTGATTAGAAGAATCTCATTTCATTTCAGTCAAGTGTCTGCAAGACGCGGGAGCCTAGCTATACACAAAAAAAATCTGTCCATACTTTGTTGGCCATCAATAAAAACCTTGCCCATTTTGCCCATCGTTTTTTTCCGATACAACAGAAGTTTGCCTATTGGTCTAAAAATCCTGGTTACGCCCCTGCATATACGACAAGGTGCGCATACATTTAAATCATTAAGAACGTGCGCAGAAAGAAACGAGGAAAAATTTTCATCAAATGAATGGAAAAGAAACAAAGAGAATTGCGTGCTCTGTTTCCTTTCTGAATGTGTGCTTATATCCCATATACAGATTCTGCATGCTACTTAAAGAAAAAGACGAATTTGCGCTCTACGCTAGAACTCTAATATTAATTATACGCTATCGTATCCATCTATTGCGTTTATACGCTCGACCGCCTTTTTTTCACATAAGGTGGCGACCATGCAAAACGGGTATCGATTTTTTGATCATCAAATTTTTCGGCATATCTCAGTTACACACAGCAGACCATCCATTTAATACAGAGGACGACACTAGGCAAGATCTGACTGCAATGCTCATAAATTTATAGTGGGTGTCATGAATAAGCATACAATAACAATATTTTTCTTCTGTTGCTTGTATTGTAAAAACGAAAGCCAAGCAAAATTCTGTAACTTATCTCAACATTTATTGTCGGTAAGAAAAAAGAATGGGCTCGGATGTTTCTTGAATAACGTTCCACAGGAAAGTGGTAGATACTTGCTGTTTCGACCAACTGAAAGCCAAGGCCTGACTGCATCTTTCCATCACGAAAG